AGTATTGTACTTGAACAACATATTGGTGAATAGATGGCTGAGTCTACTCACGAACATACTGTTGTTCAAGTAAGACACTCACCTGAAACGTGTAGTTTTTAAACTAATGAGAATAACTCACATTTGAGTGAGCCAGGTTAGTATCGTAATTAAACAACATATTGATAAATAGAGGTCCACCCATAAGATCCGCAACAATTCACTCGTTTATGCTTGAATAACTTATCACATTATATTACTAGTTTGGTAAAGTAACATTACTAATTCCTGTTAATAGGCAAATTGACAAAAAGTGGATAATCTTACAAATTCTGACATTATATAATAAGTTATTGTTCAAGTGGCTGAATTTTTAGAATTCATGGTCAGAAACAAAAATTGAATGTCAGAAATGTAAAATGTTGCATGCTTTTTTCAAATGGGATGCGCAATATTTGGTTCTATATTCTTGAAGAGCACAATTTCCCGATTCCAAAACTATATAGTTTGTCTATATTTGGTTGAGTTGTCTCCAACATATTTGGTTCTAAAAACTTTAAAAATACTATCAGAGAAACCTGTACCACAAATTTTACCTATAGCTTTCACCTGTACAGGATGTTCCAAATTCGAGGGTGACCATTGAGATATCGGAAACTATAAGAGATACGAGGTTGGCAAAGTTGCGCAATTTCATGACCAATATAATGCCGTTTTGAAATTTGAAAAATTCCGAATACTTCCGAAGATATTCGGAAAAAACCGAAATTTTACAAAATAATTTTCATTTTTTCCTCAATCTATTTGAAGAGCAATTTTAAAATAAATGACACTTCATCATTGTCACTTTTTCCCCTTTACAAGATGTTGCTACCAAATTTCAGATTCGACGTTTCGTCTTTGGGCCACCATCATCAACTCCATTTTTTTAAATACGGACCTGGATTTTTTATTCCGGATTTCAAGAGCTTCTGATGTCCCAAAACTAATGACGTATTGCACTTATTCGAAAAAATTATATTATTGGCACTTTCCAGAAGAACTTAATGTGTTAGAGAGAGGCAGAGAGGAGAATTTTGGTAGGAAATGACTAGAAAGTAAAAAAAAATCGAATAAATGCCATACGTCATTGGTTTTGGGACATCAGCGGCTCCTGAAATCCGAAATAAAAATTCCACGTCCATATTTGAAAAAATGAAGTTGATGATGGTGGCCCAAAGACGAAACGTCGAATCTGAAATTTGATAGCAACATCTTCTAAAGGGGAAAAAGTGACAATGATGAAGTGACATTTATTTTAAAATTGCTCTTCAAATAGACTCAGGAAAAAATTAAAAATGATTTTGCAAAATTTCGGTTTTTTCCGAATGTCTTCGGAAGTATTCTGAATTTTTCAAATTTCAAAACGACAATTAATTTTTCATAAAATTGCGCAACTTTGCCATAATTTAACCGACCTCGTATCTCTTATAGTTTCCGATATACCAATGGTCACCCTTGAATTTTACAGGTGAATGGTTCACAAAATCAGTAGTAAGATAGTATTTTTACAATTTTTGGAGCTGAATATATGAGAGACTGTTCAATCAAATATAGACAAACTATATATTTTTGGAATCGGGGCATTGTGCTCTTCGAGAACATACCTAGAATAAAATATAGGGCATCTTATTTGAAAAAAGCTGGAAGCATGCAAAATTTCACATTTATGACATTCAAATTTTGTTTCTGACCATGATTTCTAAAAATTCAGCCAAAACTGTACAACTTTTGTATTCACACCTTTCTTCTAACTGTAAAGGTAAAGGCTGTAGGTGGGGTGTCAATATATAAAAAAACACCCTGTATATTCTAGAAACTCGGTTTATATGGAGTATGGTCGTGCGTACCTCGGATAATCAGGATTTTTGGGTCTTTAGACTGGCTCGGTTAATCCAGCTCGGATAATTGCGACTCGGATAATCGAGGTTCTACTGTATATGTGTCAATTGATTTTGAAAAAAAAAATAAAAATTACGAATTATGCCATTCGTATCTATTTCCCTCTATTGTGCCTTCCTTACACAATTTCCCTCTACCTATAGTGCAGTCAATGATGTGAAAATTCCCTTGACCTGGGCAAAATCTGCAACACAAATTATTCTTTTTGCATTCCATTGTGAAAAGTGTCTATTTCAACATATCCAAAATCCCCATTAATCCCAGCCCAGGAAATCAGTCAAAATCCAAGATGACGGCTGAATTCTGTATTTTTCATTACAAAATTTATAACTCTGTATAACTAATGTTTGAAATAGGTATAGAATAGGTAAGGTAGGTAGGTATTGAATCACTCAAATTGCCTATTAAACATTACAGAACTTACAACTACAAGAAAAAATACCATCATTATTTCAAAGTATGGGGCTATTTTCCATAATTGGACAAAAATTAGAATGAATTGGCTGTTTTCTCACAATTCATCATAATCTTCACGTGTACTTGGGAAGTCCGCTCCTTTGGAGGCTTAACCATGATTGAATTCAAACTTTCCATTTTTTCATCTTCCACTCGCTGCGGACTATTTTCACAATTTATTTCTTGACACTGACAACATGAACTGGTGCATTCCAAACCATTCTTCCGGCAACTACATTTCTTCTTACTATGCGTAATATACTTTCAGGTGCTAGTGGCAAATCCATTGTTTTCGGTACTTACATATTATCATGTATAGGTACTCCATCCCTAATCTGGTTGGTTCAAGCCTTCTTGCATTTGTTTCCACATATAAATTTGCAAATATGCACGGAGGCTATGGTACTTGACAGCTGATCTCGTTGGGGGAATGTTCTGTGGCTGAGCGAAACATTTTGCCTTCGATACTTTTTCAATAATAGTTCTATACCTAAGTGTATTTAGTTTATCATCTGGATTTCCACCAAAGATACATACCATTATCCTCTTTCCAAATTCTTCAACGACTGGAATTAAGCTTTGTTGAGCTGAACGATAGTGCAAGTTCACGAAAGTGTTGATCTTGAAAATTGATTACTTTCCAATAGGGAATATTCTGGAGGTGCTGTCACATCATGTATATGAATGTATAAAAAATAGACTGTTCGCTTATTCATTTCCAAGCGAATATCTAGTGGTATTGATGTCATATATGTTATTCTGTTTGGAAGGTTTTTTATCACTTCTGAAAAACAGCTTGTAGTATGCTTGATTACACCAATAAATCAGCAATACCAATAGGTCAGTGTCTCCACTTATTACTGTTGTATTTTTGATTTTTGAAAATTTCACGGCAGTTTTAACAATGTCAACATCAGCATCATGAATTACTGAACATCCCATGTTGTCGTATTTCTTCAGCGATTAGAGTCATTATTTTCTGTTTGTTTTCCTTATTAGTTAGAAATATTTTCTCACTTCCTGTGAATGTCATATCTGGTGTGAAGTTCACGGAGGGGAAAATTCTATTTGTTCGGCGATTATGGGTCATGTCTTTTATTGTGTATTCTGATGTATAGCCATCAAAAACAACAGTTGCTTGTTGTCACAAACGACGCATATCTTGCTATATCCCTGAATGTACTGTCATTACGTCATGGTAGGTCAGTAACAACCCTCCATCGAGCACATAACTTGATTCACCTTCTCCCGCTGTTGCAAATGGCTGAGAATTATTTGAAGTAACATGCGATAGCTTTGACTTGTGTGCTTCCAACAATACTGTTGGACTTTCAAATAACGCAGGTGGAAGGGACCGCAGTTTATATTTCATTACTTCCGCAAGATCAGTCTCACTGGAAGAAGATGACATAATCAATCGCTGAAATAACAGAGCTGGGTCAATAGCCTCCTTGTTCTTGAACTTAATGAATGATACAGAAGAAATTGTTTTCGTCTTTGTTCCATTTTACACGAAAACACCTCCGGGCCCTTCATCTTTTCCACAATGTCCATACCAATGGTTTTTAATGTATCAATATTCACTTGTTCAGCTGCTATAACACCAGTTACAATGTTGCGCAAAGTTAGGTCGTTTGAATAAGGTGAAATCGATCTCAGTAGCTCAAGTATCTTATCTGAGTCATCTGTGTTTCGTTTCATTCGAGATTGCGCCAAATCTTTATACTGTTCACTATACTGGTATATAACGTTTGTTAGCTTTTGCATTGAGTTATTGTATTCCGAATACGCAGGCATTGACAACATCCAAGTGATTTTTCGTATTTCGGACATACCACTACCTCTGGTGAGACCTCTATTTGTCTTGAGTGACCTCATTAAACACTCAACCCAATATGCTGGAAATCCCGCCCATACTTTATCAGATCAGTATGTCGTATCACATGACCACCTTTATTGAAAACTGCATAGATTTCAGGATGCATGCTTTGAAGTTCAGTCATGTTATGTAAGTAAAGGTAAACTGATTTTGTCTAATTAGTATGCCCAGCTGCTGCAAACGATCTGCAGTTATGAGTTTACTTACGATGGTGGACAGAAAAAGCCAATGAAATTCAAAGCTTTGCAGATCAACACGATCAGAAAAATTTCTTTGAAGCTATAAAGAAAATCTATGGGGTATTGCACAGAAAATTTTGCACATTTAGGATCCAAATGGCAATTTAATAAAAGATCAAGGCCAAAGAAAAAAATAGTTGCATAGACCATTACATGACTGTCTTGAACCAGCACACCGAAATCGACTATGTAGTTTTCAGTTCAATACCGCAATACGAAAATGCAACAACACTATACAGCAACATATCACTAGAAGAAATACAGTGAGCAATAGGTACCTATGTACAAAATCCATTCTCCAGAACATGGATATATACCTCGTTTTCAATGATTCAGATAATAACCAATAATAAATTTCATGTGAAGCTAACTCTAATAAAATGTAGGCCAGTATCAAAAATTTCTGAATTTCTAAAATTTAATTTCTACGTCAGAATACCTATATTTAGATAATTCATTATCAAAAACCCTCTTCTAAAAAGTCTATAAACAAAACACTTCAACGATGATAACATTGCTTATATAATACAAACTTGAATCAAATCAAAACAAGTTTTATAAAAAACCAATTTTTTTTTTAAAATGAGGGTTCTAGTGCTTTTAGTATCCTTAATTGGTTTTGGTAAGTTTTACCTAAACAAGTATTTAGATAAAATAATGTCGTTTTTTCGTGGTAGTTTTGGCAGAAACATCTCCGGAAATCGTCCCAATTCCTGGCGGTATTTCCGGAACTGGAATAACAACACGTTACTGGGACTGTTGCAAACCATCTTGCGCCTGGACTTATCATACCAACCAAGCTAAAGCTGTTACTACTTGCTCTATAGATGGAGTTACCCCTGTAGCAGATAATGTTCAATCCGGGTAGGTTCCTAAAACGACATTGCTAGCTTTATTTATGTTTAAATTTTTTGTTAAAAGTTGTGATGAAGCAGATAAGGGACAAGCTTTTACTTGCAACAACAACCAACCATGGGTTATTAACTCTACTTTGTCATATGGATTTGTTGCTGCGTCATTCACAGGTGAAGAAAATTAATTACCCATTGGAATTATTTTAATATGTTAATTAACTAGGTGGTTATGATGTTAAACACTGTTGTCACTGTGTGCTGCTCAACTTCCAAGGAAAATTGGCCGGCAAATCACTTTTAGGTCTCATTACCAATACAGGCGATCCTCTAGCCCATAACCAATTCGACATTGAAATTCCCGGAGGTGGCGTTGGTGTCTATCCATATGGGTGTCATGCTCAATGGGGTGCGGACGCAGTAAACGGCTGGGGTGAAGCGTAAGCCTTTTTAATTTCGATTAAGAATTGTTTGACCAAAAAAATATTTTTTAGTTATGGAGGAGTATCTTCTCGAGAACAATGTTCACAGTTGCCCGGTTCTCTTCAACCTGGTTGCAATTGGAGGTGGGACTTTATGAACGGTGTATCTAACCCAGATGTGAAATTCTATCAGGTCAAATGTCCAAAGGAACTATTAGATATTGCTCAATGTCAACGTGATGATGAATAAGAATGAAATAAATGGAACTATTTTTCTTTAAAATTGAACTCAATTTTCTTTCATCAAAATGAAACATCGGTACCTATGTATTTGTTCTGGCCAAATATCTTGTGTATGTGTATGCTACATGCACAGTGAATGCCAGATAATTACTTAGAATATCTTTATTAAGAATTGCTCATTATCGCCCCTTCAAAATTATTTTTCTCATTCAGTTCAAATAAACAGCTATTCGTTTCACAGGGCACAAGATAAATAAACCTCTTCAAAAGTCAATAACTAAAACACTTCAACAATTTTTATATAATTCGAGAAAAAAAAAGACAATTTTTTTCAAATTCAAATCCTTATCGACTCCTTGAGTGTTTGTTGTTTTAGTTTAGTGCTCTCGCTTAGAGAGTAGGTAGGTACTGCACAATATAAATATTTAATTTAAAAAAGCGTTTGAGCATGCTGCTTGTATTCGGTCTGAAATTTGAAAGCCTGATCCTGAAACATAAAATTAATATACATTGTAAAATTCAATTATACATATAATTATGGGTCTATTCTATTGCGGTCTACCCCTTCCTATTCCCAATCCCTAACCATCTCTGTCAATCCAGGCATCCTCCTTCAAGCAGTTCAAGCCTCTGTCTTGGAGATGGTTTTGAATTATTTCAATGATGCAATCATCTCAGCTTTCAATGAGAACTGCCAATAACCTTATAGCCTTATAACAAGGAAATCCACCAGGAACGTGGAGCGAGAACCTTGCAAAATTTAGGAAGAAAGTTAGAATAGAATTCAACTACGCCAGAAGAACTGGCCAGTGGGTAAGTACATGCACGCCTGACAAGTAAACAACTTCCATGCCAATTTCAATGCGATAGAATGAAATGTCTAGGAAAATTCTAAGGTTAAAAATAGAGAATGAAAACGATTTCCTCTGTTCCACCTCCAGCATAAAGCGCTGGGAATGCTAGAGGTGGAACAGGGGAAATCCTTTTCATTCCCTATTCAACTTAGACGTTTTTTAGATATTCCATATTATTGCATTAAAATTGGTCTGTAAGATGTTGACTTGCCAGGCGTGTATAGGACCACGTTGAACAAGTTCAAGAAAGCGCTAGAGGACCTAAGAAGAGTACTGCGAGGCAGGCGCGGCTCCTCTATAAGGTCATTCGGTCAATGACCCACCAAAAAATCAAACAATAAATTTTCAATAATAATAATAATAATGCTTTATTGTCAAAAAAAAATTATAACATAATTTGTAGACTAAGCCTTAAAGTTAAAAATACATATTATATACATCTACATGTATACAAAGTCAAAATAAAATGATATAAACATAAACAAATATAACATGAACAAATACAAAAATGAACAAATTACCTATAAACTATGATCCAGTGTGTGGAACGCTCAAAATTAAGTCAGAAAAAAGTCATTTACTTTATATAAGGCTCTCTCTGATAAATAGGATTTTAGAGCTATGCGAAATTTAGGAAGAGATGCTATGGACTTGATGACTACTGGCAGATGATTGTGCATTTTTTTTGCGTTGTATAGAATGGAGCTCTTAATTAACTCGGAGGATGGAGTTGGCAGATAAAGATCATGCTCCGCGTTTCTAAGTGGATAGTTATGCAATGGCCTTTCTGAAATACTGGGTAGGTGTTTGCGGATAAGGCAGACTGATTCTAGTATGAAAAGGGAAGGAAGTGTTAATATTTTATATTTTTTGAAAAAATCTTGGCAATGAGCTCTATTTTTTAATTTTAGGGAATATCTAATAGCTCTCTTTTGTAATTTAAAAATACGGTCAAATTGAGTCGCACAGCACGAACCCCAGATTATTATTAATTAAACATTAAACATCTTGGATATTTAGTTTTAAATTAACCAACATCACGCTCAACAAAATGCAGAAATCGAATTATTTTGCGCCCTGAACTCGAAAAACGGCGCTGTTTCTCTAAATTTGACCCACCTGTAGAAATACTCACGAGCCGCGCCTGCTGCGAGGATATAGAAAGTACTCAAGACTGTGCTAGACTACAAAGAACTTTCTCAAGGGGCTCAAAGATAAAATAATCAGTTCACTTGTTGCGCAAAAATTAACCCTTAAACTGTTTGAATAATAAATTTGAATACATAAATCCTAGGTACAGTAAGACACCCTTAAGGAATGCGGCCAGCGCAACAAAGTGCTCGCGGCTACTCAGTGGTGTGGGAGTAGGTTCAATATTGAAAGTTAGCTTCATCACTGGTTTACAAAATAAAGTCCGCGGACTTATACCAGAAAGTCCCTGATCTCCAAAATTCCTATAAAAATGTACCTACCCGATGTACCTATCCTCTAAAACAACTTTACCTTAGTTTGGTTGAGGCTAGTAGGGGTAAAATAAGAGTCATATGAAAACAATGAGTATAAAACTATTCAATATGTTCTGGGGGGGTATGTTTAGACCTGAAATTGCATAACAAAGACCAATAGAAGGCAATATACTATATAAAATACCGCAATATATATAATTATTAAATGTAAATGTAAATGTCAAAATTACCAAAAGGTAGCACGAACGAATTTGTAATGGTCTCATAAGATACTCTAATAAATTCAAGAATTATCAATAAATGTTTGACCACCTTACCCCAATGAGAGTAAAAGAGAACAATTAAGGAATAAAAGAATAATAATATTAATTAAAACCTGTGCACGCTTATACCATGGTATACCGGGGCAGGTTTGTACAAAATGTCACCTTAAATATAGTTAATTAAAAATCATTGGTGCAGTACCTACACCCATTGTAATAATGAAGGCAGTAAAACAAACTTGGAAATGTACCAAGTAAGATATAAGACTTACTATTAATAATACTAAAAAGTAATTAAGAAACGTTATTAAATCAACGGGTACATCATCCCCTTGTGGTCCTGTCTGCAGTCTAATTTCTATTGCTGTCTCCTGACAGCCTCACAGCTCTGATAACAGACCCTATCAACTTCTATTGGCTTTCCTTCTTAAGTAGGGTAAATTTCGGTTTCAATTCAGTGTTGTGGGTACTCTGACACCTCACAAAAACGTCGAAAGAGAAAAACCCAATGGAAAGGTACAATGTAGTATCCTAAAGAAAAAAAACCCTGAAAGAGGACAAATTCTTAGACCTTAGAACCCCTTTATACTTATAATACATATTAATCTAAAATATAGGAAAATCCCCTGAAACCCGTAAGTTTCCTTTCAAAAATAATTCCCCTTAATTAATTAGCCCATTAATGCTCCTTTTGGAAATGACTAATGAGTTTTTTACTGACAAATGGCCCCTCATGGAGGTCAAATTGCCTTTTTTTTCTTATAGAATCCCAAATATTTACAAAAATTACTGATATGCTAATCTAAATATTGATAACGAAAAAGGTAAATTCAGAATGATAAAAACTATTAAATTTACCTGGTTACTAATTGGGCTAGTTGAACAAAACGTGCTCGATCCTCGCACCGACAATTCAACAAAATGGCGTAGACCTTTGTCTCCAGAAAATTCTGAGTGGTTGGCTTACAAAAACGGGCATTTACGACCAAATCCAAGCTTCACCCCAAAACCAATTAAGCCAGCAACCATTGGAGTTCCCAACGCCTCCAAAATCCCACAAAAGGTGGATGTTCCAAGAAATGCAGCAAAAGGACCGTTGGTAAAATCTGCTACTTGTTGTTTGCTCAACGTGCGAATTCAAAAGAACGACCTTATTTTCAGCGATTTATTAGGTGAGCTCAATATGAAAAATTTACCAGAGTTCCATTTTTTTTCCAAGATGTCCTCTGGTGCCAGATTTCCGGTCTTTACCAGGAAAATGGAACAATCAGCTTGGAACGGAACAACCCAGACCACAATGATGACAAACGAAACCCAAAATCGTTATCCAATTTTCTCCCCTAAAACTCATTATTTAATTAGTAACTTATTAATCAGCATCTATCCAGTCTTTAGTCTAAAAACTATCAAAATGACCACCCGATGTACCTATCCTCTAAAACAACTTTACCTTAGTTTGGTTGAGGCCAGTAGGGGTCAAATAAGAGTCATATGAAAACAATGAGTATAAAACTATTCAATATGTTCTGGGGGGGTATGTTTAGACATTGAAAACATTGAAAACAGGGCTTAAACACACTTATTTTGCGGAAATAAATAACCGGGAAAATGTGAAAAATAGTGGAAATAAGGGTGGAAAAGAGATTTAAGGCTGTGAAAGTGATGTGTGATGTTGCAGAATTTTTAATAATGGAAAATACGTGACTCGTAAGTGTTGCCAATTGATATTTATTTGAAAGTAAACAAACCTTTTTATCGACATTTAGGGCCTTACAGACAATTTTCGTAAGCTAAACAAAATAGATTTCGATCCTAACAGAAGGGGTTTATTATCCTAAAACTACCCTGTGATCTGAATACAAAGAATTTACTCATTATTACCTCGAAAAATATACCCTTGTTCAACAACTAGATATTGTTTCGAATCCAAACAAAAAGGTAGAAATCTAGTAAAATCCAATGAGAAACCTAACAATGACTGAAAAATATTAATCCTCAGGTATAAAGCTTTATAAGTACCCTCACAAATACCTGAATTAACTACCGATTTCATTCGAAATCTCAGTTACGTATTAAGGCGAAATTTGAACGTAACACACTGAAGAATGGCCTTGGTGAATACACGAATAGCAGGGAAAAGACGACTAGGGGACTCCTAAGAACCCACTATCTTGGCTCAAAGATAGTTGATCAGACTCAGAGGAGATGGGATGTGCTTAGGCGTCGAAGAGTGTCCAGGAACGACTGGCTGACCTCGAAGAAAAGTACCTACCTAGTTAAGTATGAGAAAGTCAAATGGGCTATAAACACCTTTGACCCGTACAAGTCAACAGGGACAGATAGGATCTATCCCATAATCTGACAGAACGAAACTGAACTAGAATACAGGATACTTTGCAACATTCTAAGAAGTAGCCTAGCCTTTGGCTATATGCCAAAGGCTTGGAGGCACATTCGGGAA